TGTAAATAAAAACATTTTTAATTTCGCAAGGGCGGCGCCACGGGAGGGTCCGATTTTTCTCTATATACGGTATATAAAAATAATAAAAGTGAATTGCAATAACACCGTTCATCCGATAGGCATGAAACTTTAGGAAGTTGTTGAGAATATTCCTGGGGAGGTTTCTGCGAAAAAAAAATTCAAATTCGCAGGGGTGGCGCCCCGACAGGGCGCGATTTGTTTTTTTTCTATATACTGTATATAAAAATAAAAGTCGATTTTGGTTTGGCATCGTTCATCCGATAGCCATGAGACTTTGGGGAGTTCATTATACCACTCTAGGAAAGGGTTCTGTAAAAATATAATTTTTAATTTCGCAAGGGCGGCGCCACGGGAGGGTCCGATTTTTCTCTATTTACGGTATATACAAATAAAAAAAGTGAATTGCAGTGACACCGTTTATCCGATAGGCATGAAACTTCGGGGAGTTCATTATAAAACTCTAGGTAAGGGTTCTGTAAAAAAATCTTTTTAAATTTCGCAATGGCGGCGCTACGGGAGGGTGCGATTTTTCTCTATATATATGGTATATAAAAATAAGTCGATTTTGGTGTGACACCGTTATCCGATAGCCATGAGATTTTTGGGGAGTTGATTAGAACAATTCAGGGAAGGTTTCTGTAAAAAATTCTTTTTTAATTTCGCAAGGGCGGCGCCACGGGAGGCTGCGATTTTTCTCTATATACGGTTTATAAAATTTCGGTTTCACACCGTTAATCCGTGTACCATGAAACTTTGGGAAGATGATTAGATCACTCAATGGTAGGGTTCTGCAAAAAAAATATTGTTTAATATTGCAAGGGAGGCGCCCCCATGGGGGGAGCAATTTTTTTTCTCTATACACGGTATATAAAAAAATAAAACTCGGATGCAGTTCATTCGAGTGCCATGAAACTTTAGGTAGTAGATGAGAATACTCCCGAGAATATTTCTGCGAAGAAGAAAACTAAAGTTTCTTATGGGCGGCGCCATATAGGGTACAACTTTCCTCAATACACGGTTTGGCGCCCAGAGTTTTAGAGCGACTGTGTTGGCACTTGGCATCCGTTAATCGAGCGTGTGCATAGCGAGTAAGGGGTACTACTATATTCAGCGGTAAAACTACAACAGGCTTCTAAAAATAACTTTGTAACGCGAAGGAAATCCTTCTGTCCGGTTTCGTCACCTTGCGACAGATGAAACAATAACTTTTTGAGAGCCTACTGTACAGTTTCGTAACTTTGTGAATGATGCAATAAGCATCTATTTGTAGACGATCCAATCAGAAATAGAGATCGAGCATCTAATAATACACCATTAGTAACGATAACATATTGCATCATTCACACTGATGTTTAAAACACGTCAAATACTTTTTTACGTGCGAAAGAAAATAATCCTGTTCATTTGTGTCGCTTTTGCGAATGACGCAATCTGCATCATTGTTAACAGGATGCTATTTGGCACGATGGCTCCTGTTAGTTTTTAAGGAGCCAGTGGTGCCTATGCGGTAGTGTAATCGAGGGGGGTGCTCCTGAGAGCGCCCCTCTACGTCCCTGACACATAGGTGGTCACCGAAGTGTGTTCTACCTGATTATTTTTCGGTGAGTGATTAAAGTACACATAAGGTTTTCACGCGGTAGTGTAGGTAAACCCGTGTCGCGGTAGTGTAGGTAAACCCGTGTCGCGGTATTTATGATCCAGCGCAGGCATTGTTTACATTAAAATAACTCACTTTTAGAAAACAAGGTCACGCGTCTAAGAATATAGGATGGGTAACGTATGGATGAAACCCTTCTTCTATTCCCGCGGCAACGCGCGGGGACGGGTACGCTAGTTCTTATATAAAACATCAGGGGATGAGAGCTCCATTTTAAACACTTAAAGTTTTTAAAATAGAATAAAATCTCGTAGAAAAAAAGAGTTGCACACCAAGTGAACGCCAAATAAAATTGGCATAATAGTGCGCAAAATTATTAGTACTTTATAAATTCACATGCGTTTTTTTAGAATTCGGAAATAGCCTAAATTACTACTTCCGGTCAACGGAAGCTACTCCAAATTTGTTAGAATGCAGAGAATTAGATATTTTACTTATATGTGAAATTTCATTTATCTATCTGAAATAGTACTCAATTTATAGGCTTTTGAAAAATTCAAAGTAGAAAAGTACCACTTCCGGTTATCGGGAATCGCTCAAAAGCTGATACGGATCTACGATTTTGATAAGAAACTAATATATGAAAGTTCATCAACCTAGCTGTAATGGTACTCAAGTTATCGTGTTTACAGACACACACATACACACACAGACATACGGACAAGATTGCAAAATTATGTTTTTCCGACTCGGTGAGATATAAAACGACGAGATTTGCAAAAATCTCAATTTCTTTTTTTTTGCACGATTACAAGACTTTCTCTATACTTCGTATATACGAGAAAGTAAAAAATAAACATTCCTAATTCCAAAGTAGATCAGTACAGTGCAACATAATAATATATGAGTGTTTGTGACTTATTGGAAGCATGTCAGTTAAGAGATAATCTTTGGGTGTCGTTAGATAACTGAACACAGCTGGCACGAAACAAAAGCAACATTATCGAGCATTTCACAAAGTCATACGCAAGGCACGTGAGTTTCTGCCCAACCTTTGCCTCCAGTTTTAAAAACGGCATCTGGTCACCTGCTTTTGAACATGAGGGTCAGTTTCGTCACCAGGCCGGTTTCCGAACTCGGTTTAGCTAGCGTGCGTAATACATACTAGACCACACTATCCAGTTGTAATAACATTTTACAAAAGGTTGGGGATACGGGGTCTGGAGAAAGCGTCTGGCAACACTGAGGATAAGCTATGGATGAGGGAGGGGTTGTGTGTAAAAAAAAAGCGTGACTTTATTCGTGCACGATGAAGGGCAGATTTAAATCCGTACCACGTTTAGAAAAGCAAGAGTTATCCCAGGACTACATAGCAAACTTATCAACCATACTAGTAGTATATTAGGTCACTTTTGGACCGGAATGGCGCTGGCGCAGCAGCCTGGGACAACGAGATATAGCAAAATATTCGCAGGGTGAAGGGTGAGGCGCAGAGTGAAGGGGGTGGCGCAGGGTGAAGGTACAACGAGATATAGTAAAATACTCCGCCAACTGGCGCAGGGTGAAGGGTGAGGCGCATGGCGCTGGGTGGATGTACAACGAGAAATAATAAAATACTCGCAGGGTGAAGGGTGAGGAGCACGGTGAAGGGTGAGGCGCAGGGTGAAGGGGGAGTAGGACAGTAGGTCGGTGACCTTGTGACGTAATCACCGCAGGCGACCTTGGGACGTAATCACCACAGGTGACCTAGTTACGTAATTTGATTGTTTTTAATGAGTTTGGTGACCTTGTGACGTAATCACCATCAGTGACCTAGTTACGTAATCACCAGCGGTGACCTAGTTACGTAATTTTAATGAGATTTTAATTAGTTTGTTTTTATTAATTTTTAATTAGTTTAATTTTTTAAATTTAAAATTTTTAATTTATTTTGTTTTTAATTAGTTTAATTATTATTAGTTTAATTATTTAAATTTAAATTTTTTAATTTTAAATTTTAATTTGTTTAATTGTTGTTTATTTGTTGGTGAACTTGTGACGTAATCACCATCGGTGACCTAGTTACGTAATTTTAATGAGATTTTAATTCGTTATTTTTTTATTAATTTTTAATTAGTTTAATTATTATTAGTTTAATTTTTTAATTTTTAATTTATTTTGTTTTAATTAGTTTAATTATTATTAGTTTAATTTTTTAAATTTAAATTTTTTAAATTTAAAATTGTTGTTTATTTGTTGTTTATTTGCTATATTTCTTTTCTTTGTTGTATGTTTTTTAATTTTTAAATTCTCCACCACAACGAACGTGTACAAAGATAGAAAATTCTTTGTGTCGACTTCCATTAACGACACCTGGCACGCATCGATCCGCCAGCGAAGCTTTCCTTTTGACAGGGACCGTGCAGTGATGAATCGCTTTTCTCGGTCGGTTTGACAGCCGCGGTTGATTTATATCGGGTCAGTGAATGTATTGGAAACCCGAACACCATAGGGGGGTATGCTGACAAGATTGTAGACTACCTCTGTCCATTAACTATGTTCACATATCGGACGACCGGTCATTCTTTGATCATATTAAAATTATTGTTTCCACATGTCTTACGAACCGAGACAGGCTGGCGCCACACTTTCCACTAACAGTTATACGTACAGTGTCATAGGTTTTTTGATCGAGTAAAGAAATAATGTTGAGCGACCCGCGTCGAGCCCGTGTGTTGGGCGCCACACTTAACGGCGGCTCCCGGGCTTTTTTCATTACCTTGTTTTTAAGTTTTCTTGTACTAGATTTATTTTAATTTTTTTTTTCATCATCTGTTAACTTTAAGGTTCTATAACTCTATATTTAAATACAATTTTTGATTCAACCGAGTTTACTTTACCTAACGTAAGTACATGTAAAGGTGGGTTTCCCATAGATATGTAATGATTTAGGCCTTTTTGACTATGACTTGTTGTCCAGGTGTTGACATGATACGCTTTTTTGAGATACACGTACACACATTCACACATGCGGAATTCATACTAGGTCGGTAAAGGCGGAGAGAACTCATAGGTATACATTATCATGGTGACAACAAAAGCAACCCTTATTTTATTTACATGAAAGAGTGTTTTCCAAAAAGTGTCACCATGCCGTTGTCATTTTCGCAGCGGGGTTTATTTTAAGTGCACCCCGTGCGCTCTTGTTTACATTTTAAAAGACGTGTCGCGTGTCGTCCCCACGTGTCTTCCCTTATAGAGAAACGAGTGTATAGCGTAATATAATCATTAGCTTTGTAACTGTTGCTCATGTAATGACTTAGTGTTACTATTGTTTTTTATACAATGATGTTAGAGATTTCATTGCACAGATTTCATTTTTAAACACTTAAAATTTTCATACCTTATGACAGCCATAACACTTGACCTGTCCATTTTGTATGGTGATAATGTTGAAAATCTAGCAATGTAATTTCCCTGTGACTGAGCTAGAAAATTCAAATTGTTGGGGTGAAGTTTAAGTCTAGTACAACTGTACCTCTCCTGTTGAATTGCAATATTTATTAAATTTAGAAAATTGGTTGTAGACATCTTACAAAAAGGTAAGTTTTATGCTTTGTACAATCTTTTTTTTTTAAAGTTGGAAGGTAGTGTTAAGTTTTAGTTTATCTGCAAAATTTTTAGGTTTCATAACTGTCATGATGAATAGTTTCTTTTTAATAAAATGCTACACAATATTTTAATATGGGCTAACATTGTGGGTTATATATATATATATATATATATATATATATATATATATATATATATATATATATATATATATATATATATATATATATATATATATATATGTATAACCAATAAAAAAATATCATGTTATTGGCGGTACAAAAATAGATATAGTTTTATCTTGATAGAACCAGCACAATAACAAGAAGTAACAGCTGTGTGTCCTGGTGTGTATATAGGCAGTGCTACTTAAGAGTATGTGTGTTTGTTGGGTTTTTGTTTTTTTGTGTTTGCATTGTTTTCTTTTGTGTTTGCATTTGTGTTGTGATTTGTGTTTGGTTTTGTTCTGTTTCCAAGTTGGTTCATTTAAAAAAGATTCACTGTGGCTGAGCCAGGGTATGCAGGCTAGTTAGGCTAGAACAGTCATAGGTTAATTTGGGAGGTTGATGTGTCCTTGAATAAGCCAAGCTGTTAAACTAATGCTATGTTAGTACCATGCAGTTGCTCTTAATTTTTTTTGGGGGGGGGGGGGGGGGGGGGGGGGGGGGGAAGGGAGATTTTGTCCTCCCCCCCCCCCCCTAGTTTTAAGTGCGCCCCCCCCCCCCCCCCCCCCCCACTAAAAATGTCTAGTCTACCTGCTTAAAAAGCATAGCGTGATCCTGTTCAAGAGAGATAACTTACATGAAAAATTTGATTAGAAAGAAACAGCCTTAGATCTTGTGTCCCAGATTAAAATGCTTCTGTCAGATGAGTCTCGAGATACAATATCTGTACAAGAAACTAATTCATCACCATTAGCTATGAACAGCAGATCCTGGACCTAAAAAATGAAATGAGATAAATTACAAAAAGAAAAGTTAATTTAGAAGAGCTAACACACATGATCTCTAAACATTGTTAAACAACAGAATTCATAAGAAAAAACATTAACCTGTTCAAAACCACAGGACTCACAACAAATAATAATAATTTTGACCTGTTATTTTATGAATAGTTTTGATATTCCAGTGTTTATTGTAAATAAAAAAAAAATGGATTTTTAAATTTAATCACACATTGTGTAATCTGTGAAATTTAATAAACTTGAAATTATAATTATCCCTTTAAATTTTTTAATGATTTGGGTTCAATATGTAAATTTCAAAAACCTTTTAATAGTTGTGTTTATTATAGAGACAAAAAATATCTAGGCCTTTCAGCTAAGTCATTATCTACAAAAAAAAAGTGGATAGGGCTCTAATTTTTTCTTCTCAACAAATTGTGATTGACTAACCTGACCAAACTTATCTTTATATGTAAAGTGGTTGACAGGAGCTTGTGGGACCCTACTGTCCCACATAAGGATTATGTTCTCTGAGCCGCTAATAAACAGGTGAGGGTTTAATACATGCCCATGACAAGCTGTTACATAATCTGCATGTTCACAAAGTGCCAATATTTTTCCTGAAAATACATGTTTAAACTGTTTTTCTAATCTAATCATCTAGATTGATAGATAGATATACAGATATTTAGATATAAAACTTAAAATTGAAAATAAGAGTAATAAATTATAGCAATTTCTACCGGTTTCTACATCTGTAACTAAAGCTGTACAGTCATAGCTGCATGATAATAGGTTTGATCCTCTATTAACCAACTCAACATTTTTCACAGCTTTCTTATGATGAGTAAAAGTTGCCAATTTGTAATTTAGGTTGGACCAAACATTCCAAATCTGTACAGCTGCATCCAAACCTAAAAAATAAACATATTAAAATAATTATCAACACTTGGTTGAGTGGAAAATATTTCCATCTTCCATTTCTTTAAATATGACTACAATTTTGTACATGTTTAAATTAACTTTTGTTTTTGTTTTAAGTTATTTTAATTAAAAAACAAACAATCACCTGCAGTTACTAAAAGGTGGCTATAAGAAGGTATATTCCAATCCAATCCACTGATTGGCCCATTATGTGCTTTCCAAAAATGTGAATGTTTTTTAAAAGGCTTATTTAAAGTTGTGCCATGTAAGTGCTGTGAGATTTTACTATGCACATAATATATTTTTCCTTTTAACAATTTCTGAGCCTTGTATGTTGATAAATACTTTTTTTCTAGATTAAAAAAGCTCGAATCAGAGTTCTTTTTTATTCTGTGATGAGTACTTTCTCTCCTTTTAGAATTTGGAATTTGACATTTCCTTACTCATAGCAGTTAAGGATGATCCTAGCACAAACTCATTGGAAGAGAAGCATTATTTTGTGATGCAACAGGATTTCAAATAATTACTATCTTTTTCCTCATCATTTAAGATTTTGTTGTGGGAATGTTTGTTGCTTGTGTTGGTCAAGGATTCTGGAAAAAATGTGCCCCAATATCTTCCATCTGGTACCTCAACTCCAACAGGAATTTTATTATTTCCATTATAATTTCCTTCCTGTTGATAGCTAGCTAAAAAAACAGTTTGGTTTGTTGTTTGATTTATTGCTTGAGACTAGTCCAAAAAAGTCAATAGATTCATCAGAAATTATATCACTTATATTTTTCTTTCATCCTTAGTGTGATCAGGGAGTTCAGAATTGTCATGTTCTATAAAAGTAGTACTATTCATCTCTTCACAGTCACTTTCACTACTACTTCCGTAACTTTTTAAAAAATCCATTCTCTTAGGAAAGGACTATCTAAAATAAAAAATGTATATACATAAGCACAAATAACTAACTTCGATATTATTTATTTTCTTCTTGTCGCCATTACTATTACAATTTAGACTTTAAAAAATGACATTTGAATATTAAGTACAAAAAGACGCCATATAATATATATATATATATATATATATATATATATATATATAATTATATATATATATATTTACTTGTATATTGGCTATTAAAAAGTGTTTCACTATGGTGTAGACCTTAAAATGGTAATTTTTTATTTTTTAGAGAAAAAAACATTAAAAAGAACACAAAATACAATACGAAGCACAACATGACCAGTTTTGATATAACACTAATTGTAATGTTACTTATTTATGTAATATTAAACTGACATATTATCAACTTTAATACTATTATGTACAGTAATTTTGAGTAATTATATATAGATCTATACACATATATATATATAAAGCAATATACTTGTGTGTGTCTGTCTGTTTTTTATGCATAACTAGACCTTGCATCCGATCGCCATGAAACTTTGGAAA